CAACCAATCACAGTTCCGGAGAACTCGTCCTCGGTTTTCTGCGGAACGGGAGTCGTCGGCTTTCGCGGTTTCTCGACTTGATACTCGAAATCAGGGAAATGAGAATGCCCCGTAAACATGGAAGTCGAGAATTTGGTTGGACGGTGCCTCTAACGGCCTCAACAGAATTACAGTTTCAAAAACCATCTCATCAAAAATTACACATCTAACAAGGCATAGAGGATTGGTATTCGACGTTAAGCAGGTTTTGAGACGCATTGCGGCATGTAAAGAAATGACGCAATCAAAGCTCCAACCATCTACACCTTCAGGAAGCGTCGATAAGAAAAGAACGGCTGTAGTACTTTCTCATACCAAGTCATTCAACCCCTAGGGGACTATTGATATGAAGGTCTATCCTCGTCGCCTGAGAAGAAGTTTGGGAAGCCGTGGTCGAGCACAAGGGCGTTGCACCCGGACGACCCCCTTCTCTTAGTATTTTTCTCACTGGACACTCCTGCGCCACCTTCTACCTACCGTAGGCATAACATGAGATCCTACTAAGCATAATGATGACATGTAATCAGCATGTCAAATAACCCCTTTAATTATTTATTTGAATTACTCACAAGGTGCACCGAAAGCGACGAACACGAGAAGTAAGAAATACAGTAGTTCAGATTGTATCGGTCAAACGAAGTCCCTTCTAGAGTTGACAGATCAACCTCAGCAGAATTTGAGGTATCCAAATACTAGGCCAAGCAAGTGAAATAGTCATTTTCAGGCTGATTAACTTTGATTCAAAAATGAGGTAGTTGACTCTTTCTGCATTCAATACAAAGGACTACTCCCTGAGGGGTAGTCAAACAACAAACTATAATTGCGAGCCAGCCAAAATTTTGTTTGTTCCGTTTTCTTGCTTTCAATGGAAGGGCGTTCGACACTGTTACACAAAAAAGGACGTTTCTGTTAAGGATGTTTCTAAAAAGGACGCATCAATCTTAAATTACTACTATGAAAACTACGAGATTTAGGCTATCGAAATATGTATAATATTCTCTAGAAGTTACTTGATTTCAATGGGGTGTGGTACTCTTGATGTCAATGGGGCGCTAACCTTTTTTAGGGATTGTGGCACACCCCGCTGACTTATCTAGAAAGCTTTCATACACCTAGGCTTCTTATCATAGAAACCACCAAGCCTTTTTTTCTTCACGCTAGGAAAAGTAGCTGACTCATCCTCAAGATAAATCCAAGCATATTCGAAAATGACCATTTTAAGGGTGACTCAATATTCGGAAAGCTCTGAATTCGCTCAAAGGCAGCGTACACCCAGGATCTATGCTACCAGTTTTCTATACGGGTACAAGTAGGGCCCAGAAGATCAACTGCGTTGGTCCGGCCTCTCAATGTTGCCTCTAAGGGGGGAAAACGCGCTCGATTGAAGAGAGAATCTTCGGGAATCGAGGGGTTTTTTGGGGGTTTGGAGAGTTTGCATTTCATAACTGTGATTAGGACGGGAAAGAGCAAAGATGACCAAAAAAAGGAATGCGAAATTTTGCGTGTACGCTCTTTTAAACTTGGTCCACGGGAGTCATTAACGTGCTAATTATGAAAATGATACTCATTATGTTTGGTAGGGTTTCCTTATGCTTACTGAGTTCTGTTCGATTTAAATTTTCTAATCCGAAACTTCATAGTTTTTTTCAAAACAATTTCTTTGATAATCTCAGTTTTTGTGTATCGAGTTACCTACGTTAAAACCAAGCGCGAAAGTCCTGTCAAATAAAAAGCATAAACTCAAAATTTTACAATGTACTTTTTCAAAGTTTTCTTTTCTGTCGTGACAATGCTCCATTATAAGAACTTACGGCATACTATGAAGCATCGGTAGACAGATGAAATTTCAATAAAAAATTTTTGTCCAATAGAAGCTTATGGAATCTTGGATGCGGAAGATTCGTTTAATCAGATGAAAAAAGTCATTTTTTGACCTCGCTTTAGTAAATGTGTAACTACATGCCTATTTTCAGATTAACACGTTTTTGCAGGTGCCGAGCGGTAAAAAGTAATTCTTGGATGAGCCCTACCAGCTCTTGCTTTACCTTAGCGGCTTCAACTTTTGACTCATCGTGCATTCTGCTTGAAAACACTAATGTAAATTATAGTCATTCAAAACCAATTTTTACAAGCCTGTTTTCTTTTCTTAGCCTGTTACGTCCTTATTCCGCGATCAAAACAAGGCTTGACGTGAAAGGTGTAGCATAGAAGTTTTCTTTGGTGGAAGTTTTCCTTTTTCCTTTCTTTGTATTTACTACTATTTCTCAAGTGAAAAGGCATCTGGCCACCTGGTATCTTAGGCCTGTAATTTCGTTGTGCTAAGGATTCTATAAGATTTGATATGCATCAGAAAGAGCAAGAAGAACACTTTTGGTACAAATAGTACCGCTTTGAGGACCCAGTCTCTCAGAATAGCCGCTTCTAACACAAGGCAACAAAAACGTATAGAGCTTATGTAGCAGTCTAGTATGTCAGGTTAACGCAGAACTGGTACGTTTTTTGAATCTGCATTTTGAGTTGACATAAATTTTTCCCAAAACCTTCTTTCTAGACGCTATAAAGACTACTGCGGGCAGCACACCATTGGCTATACAAAGTATACTTTTGTATACTGTAACCATTACAGGGAAGGTTTCGCATCTCTAAGATTGCCAAGAATTTGAAGAGCTTCTATTTAGAGCATAGTTTGTTCTGAGATATTAGGATGGTCCACACTCTGCTCATCGTGTAGGGAACGGATCATGACTCAGTCTGCTCAAAATTTCAGCGAGAAGTTGTCGCTCCCCGACAATTAACAGTCGAGCTCTCGCCAATACTTTTGCAATGTTAGTTATTAGCAGGAACCCTGTATCTAGCGCCACTTCTTACTTCTTCCGAATCCCACGGTACCACTTTAGCGCCAGAGAGTTTTTCTAGGGCACATCTATGAGCACGGCAAAGCGGGCATTGTGCGCCGTGTGAATTCTGGCATGTGGCCCATTGTGTAACAGTGATCGGTCAACAGCTGGGTGTAGCTCAGATTTATGGAAATTTGTTGAAAGAAAACGTTGCAAAAAAATTCTAAAATTTTGTGAGGAGGCAAAACACTGCTTTTTCATTTTTGATTGTCCTTCGCTTGGAAGTGAGGAAGCCCTAACTATCATAATTGTACGTCCACTCTTTTTGATCATTTAAAAGTTCTGCGATCGTTGCTTAGATTTTTTTACGCCGCAGAATTGGCTTCAATGATTAACCAATCTTGCAGTAGAATTTCTCCTTGAAAATACGTACAGAAAAGCATTTCGTAGAACAAAGCTTTACAATCGTTATGCATACATTTAATAATCAGGCAGTCATTCAAGGATAGAGCAAAGAAAGTGAAAAGAAACAATCTCAGATTTAGCCTTTTATACAGGGTGTCCCAAAAAAATGTATCGAACGTTTGATCGTTAATATCTCTCTTCTAAAGAAGTCTTTTCTCTTGCTTCAGGTATCAATCCGTAGAGCTGGCTTCAACTTAGATTTGCATTATAGAATGAATCACTCATTTCTCTTCATTACTGTAGGATTACGGTAGAAACTTCGAAGAGGGTTTTAAGCAATGAAAAACCATATTTTGCCTTAAAAAGGAAACAAAACAGCCTGAAAGCTTTTACACTAGGCTAATTAGAGTTGCTGATTATAACTAAAGTTCCCAACTTATTATGATGCTTCATTGAAGAGTTATGCCAGGTAAGAGGTAGCGGCCATTTTTTCAATATTCCTAAAAAGTGCGATTACACCGTTTAGAAAGCTTCGTAATTTTGTGAATAGTTGAGTATTGAACTTAGCGTCCATAAAAACCCTATTACACAAATTTTCACAATTTTTTGAAAAATTTGGAAACGGCAGCTTTTCCACATTGACACCATATGTTTCAAGTTTCTACCGTAATCCTACAGTAATGAAGAGGTATGGGTGATTCGTTCTATAATGCAAATCTAAGTTGAAGCCAGCTCTACAAAACGGTACTTGAAGCAAGGCAAAAGACTTCTTAGGAAGAGAGATATTAACGATCAAACGTTCGATACTTTTTTTTTTGGGACACCCTGTATTTGGATTTAAATCTAGGGTAAAGCAAATTCTAGGAAGGCATATGCAAAAAACAGAAACGCCTTTCACTTATAAAAAATTTCCAAGAAACACATAGTTCTACTGTGAAAACAGTGCTTTAAAAAGGATTAAGGAAAATGTGTGCTAATTTCGCAACAACCTAGTATTAATTGCACATGGCATGCTGCTTCTGACGAGGGGAGGATACTTGGTGACCGTGGGCTTTTGCACTGAGATGTATACGTAGTTAAGTCTTGATACATCCAGTAGAAACGCTGATTCTAAGTCTGTGTTCATTATCTGCTGTGCGACTCCCCGAAAAGTTATGGACTTTTTTACATATTGACTTTGCGAGATTTAAGCAGCCAAAATCTTCAGTATCTAGGTTTTTTCGGCTCTGATGTCTCGATGACAGTTTTCCTAAACTTAACGTGAAGCTTTACTTTATCTGTACGCTCTTTTGTAGTGCGTAAGCGAACATTCCAGCGATATTGGCGAATCCTGCATTAAAAACAGTGCAAATTTTGGTGACGAGAAATCATTAACTTCTTTCGGAAGAGCGCACAGCAGATAGTGAAGACAAATTTGGAATCAGCGCTTCAAAATGCATTCAGTGGTGTACGTTTCATTTTAGAAGGCCACGGTCACCAGGTATCCTTTCCTTGCGAGATCAAAACCGTACAGTAACGACTGAGAAAATTGACTGCGATAAAAGGACTTTCACCTCCATGGAACTTCAGGTATTTTTCTATACCATAATCTCTCTTCTCTATCAGTGCTTTTTTAGCTGTACAGCGATAAGATTAAAATAAGAGTAAAAAGGAAAGTTTTTATGTTTTCCACTTTGCCATTAAGATGTCTAAGTGCCAATCAAGATAATGACAAGACGCTTTTGAAACACTGAACCAAATGCTATGCTACTGTTCTGTGCTCTAATTCTAGTCAGCTCTTCTCAAGCAGCTGAGTTTGGAGTAAGACATCTAATGTTCTTGAATTTTATCTTTATAACAAGTTTCCACATTAGGCTTTTTCGTACAATAATGCATTTTTATATTTATGTAAACTTGAAACGAAAAAATTACAAGATTCTGTTTGAACTACGAAGAATTAAACTAATTTGGTAACAACACTCTCAGTAATCGTTCTGAAGCAAACTTGCAAAGTGATTATTTGTATTTCAGCAGTTTCCATTCCCAATCGGTTTCTTCCCCTTCGATCTGTCAGAAATCTTGAATATAACGGATCAATGCCTCACAGACTTCAATAGATTTACAACAAGCCTAAACACTTACGTGCAGACTTTCACGGTATGCCAGCAAGCTGGAGAATGTACAAAAGAGCAGCAAACTGTGCTTGACGAGCACATTTTTGCCGTAAAGCGTTAGTTCCATAAGTTTTGCAATTTTATGTTAGCCTCAGATTTTCAAAGGACTGTTAAAGCTTGCAGAATTCCTTGACTTCTAAGAGAAAGCAAATTTGCTATGCCAAAATAAGTTGAACCTCCACTGTTTAGAAATTGATGCTTTTGGCAAGATTCCGGCAGGATTGATGGAGTATACGCTAACCAATACGGGATCGTATGCGGAATGCATGGATCTTGTGGCGCCATACAAAGTTCACTATTGTTATATAAGCGCCACCATGAGGGCGGTAAGGGACATCTTTTATGATTACATACAGTCAATTTGATGGATTTGGTGGACTGTTGCCGCATTTGCTTGCGAAAAATAACCATAGGACGACAAACTGGAACTTAGCTCTCATTGTCCATTTCTTGCATAGTTGCCGCACTATTGATTCAACTGGCTTGGTGGCTGGAAGGCGAGATTCTTGGACCAAATTAAGGCCGCTCGCGCCTGCTACGCAATCTGAGGTCGCCCTCTGATCGTTACCTAATCTTAATTAGGTCACGAAGCCCCGCCTTCCAGCCGCCAAGCGAAATGAATCAAAAGGTATCGTCGATTCGTTCATACGGACTGCTCAAACGCTGCGGCCGCGCGCGGCGCGGCTAAATTGTCGCGAGAGCACGACTTGTACAATGGTGAATTTGTACTGGGGCAAGCGTTTTACCTCGCGGCGCGTGCTTCGCAGTGATCTCCAGTCCGTGCGGTCAACGAATCAACCATACATTATGTTTTGACTTTGGTGGGAACCAAGTGTCGTAGGCGATAGTGGTGTCGATAATAATTTATCCACAGACGAACCCGGTTTTGGACCGGGGGAGCAACCTATAATACAATCGGAGGCTCTTTATATAGGTAGTAAGGCGGAGCTGACCCGTGCACAATCGGAATGTCCAGGAAATATATGCAAGAAAGAGGATGCCGCGGCTTGGCGCGGCCCCTGGAAGATAGGTGCCACTCATTGGTGAGTGATTCGGCACTTAAACATAAGCGGTTGGGGAATATAGCGTATGGGGAATACCCGTAAGCTATTAGGATTATAGAATTGTTGAGGTTGATGATACATAAATCATCAACACTCCGGGCGAGCAAGAAGGAGGCGAAATCTGTTGAGATGTAAATAAATAAATACAATCAAAACCTCCTAAAAGCATTTGCACTTAGAAATTGAGATATAGCTGTGTTCATGAGAGTAAGCTATTAGATTGGTTGTCGACGTTGATGATACATAAATCATCACGAGCGAGCAAGCAAGAAGTTAATCTGGTAGGCACGAATACAACAAATGCATAGAATTGTGTAAACTTAGACATACTAATGGAGGCTATAGACGGAAGAGAGTTTACGGTGAACAGTTGTAGTGGTTGCTCGTTGCTGTTCCCTAGTATGGCTTCGCCTTTCGTCGTCGTCTCTTTTTCCTCGTCGGATCTGCTCTCGTCGATTTTGAGTTGACAGAATCGCTTTCGGTGATTATCTTCGTGATAACCGGCGCTTTCGTGATCAGATGTTCGTGATGTGTGATCTTCGGCATGTCCGTCATCTTTATCATAGCTTGTAACGTCGGCTGAAGTGTTCTGGCAAGAGTTCCATTCGCACTCCTCGTACTGGAGCTGGAACTAGAGCCTAATATGCAGCGAACTTTGACCAGCCAACATTGTCTGTCTGTCTAAACTTCGCGGTTGAAAGCAGCTGTCCGCCTTTTCCTCTTTTTCGGTAACAACTCCGTTGTCTTTTGAGATGTTACTTCAGCATACGCTCGGAGAATTCTCCTGTTGATTGCACGTGTACTGCTTTCGTTGAAATTGGTGCCCAGTTTCTTCGTCGTCAGCCAATTGACGTGTCGTTGAGGGTGAGGGGTGGATCTGGAGGCTTCCTGCATCGTTGATGTACAACCAAAAGTGCTAACGATCTCTGTGCTCATGTTGGTACGACTTGTACCAGATATGACATATCCAAAGATGGTTGGGGTTAAGATGAGCCCCGAAGGAAGCTTGAATACTGTTTCGGTGTGAACAGTGACGAGGTTGAGAAGATCTTGTCCAATAATGAGTTCAGGCAAGACGCTTTTATGAGTGAGCGTATCTTGAGCTATCTCCAAGTTCTTATTGGAAATGAAGTGAACATCTGCATCTGTGAGATGTGCTGTATGTAGGTTGGCAGTCAACTTCTCTTTCGTGTGCACTGATATCTTCTTCAGCTTCTGTGCGTTGTGAAGGCTTTTCAAAGTAATTTGTACTTCATTGGAACTGAATGTCTCTTTCAATTCTCCCATTCCTGATGCGGTGAATGACGTCGTTTGGATGACTGGCAGCTTAAGCTCTTTACTGAGTTTTGATTTGATGAAGCTTCGCTGGGCGCCAGAGTCAATCGGTATTGTTATGGGTTGATAATCCCAATCTGTCTCGTTGAATATCATTGCTGAAGCCGTTTGAAGTACGCTTTGGCACATGAGTGGCAGTTTGCTTGAGCTGTAGACTTCTTGTCCATTTCGCTGAGTTTGTGCAACGTGTACTTCACTTGCTTTGCGATTATCGAAGTTGGTTCTTTGCAGTATCTCGGAGACCTTTAAATGATGATTGTAGCTAGTAGGAAAGTGAGACTGCTCGAGATATCCTTTCTCTTCTTCCCATTTCGGACCGTCATGACTTGTGTCCTGATGGTTGCTTGTTTGAAGGGTACTCGAAATGAGTGTCTCCATCGTTAACGCAGTCGTTTCCCGCAGAGAGATGATGTCGTCGATTGTGTCTAGGATCCTAGAAACATCGAATTGATCTCCACTTGCGGCTTCCTTCTGTATGACGGTTGCGCAGATGTCTTCAGGAAATTTGGACAGAATCATTCTGCGCCAAATTCTGTCTGCGCTCATCTTCATTCCAGTTTGTTCCAAGTGGATGATCCGTGAATTGATTGCTTCGAACGTTTCTCGGCAACTTTCGGGACTGTAATTTGCTCCTTGAAGTCGTTCGATTTCGTTGATGAGTATGTCTGCCATGTTGGCAGAGCGATCGAAGTGTTTCTTTAGAATGTTGACGGCTGTCTGATACTTGTCTCCTACAACAGGGATGCACTTCAAAGCAGCAGCTGCTTTTCCTTTGAGCGCTTGCTTTAGAAAAAGGAATTTGTCGCCATCCGATAAGTCCTCGTCGCAGTGAATAAGTGAATTGAACACTGTCCAAAAACTGTTGAACTCTCTGAAGTTGCCAGAGAATGTAGGAACCTCTAGATGCGGTTTCCGCACTTTGATCTGGCGTTCACTTCGTTCCGTTACTGAGCCTCTTCCTATCTCGCTCACTGGCTGACTCGGAATACTAGGAGCAGGCGTATGCAAAAGTGTCGTTTGCTGGCTCAGTTCATGTTGTCTGAACTGTATTCGGTTTTGCCATTGAACTGCCATCACTTCCAGATCGAGTGCTTCCAACTCCAGATGCTTGCTAAGTTCAACCATCAGCTTCTCTCGTTCCTTTTCTTCACTACGTGTGATGTACTCAATGGCAGCGTTTTGCTGTGTTTCTTGCAGTTTCACAGCGTTTTGCAGAGAATTGAGGAGATTTGTTGTTACTCCTGCCTTTTCTTTGATATAATCTTCACATTGTTCTTTTATCGCAGGAAACGTGAAGGGAACATCAATGTCATTAATTTGTGACTCGTGCGATTTTACGAGTTTGCAGGCATTGTTGATCCTGATTTTGAAAAGTTGAAGTGCGGCCATCTTCGAAATTCAATTCCGACTTCTTTTCCTTTTGTCCTACAGCAAGTTGGTTGCTTTGCTGTTTCTTCAATGTACAAGTTAGCGAGGTTTTCGCGAACTTGCAGGCTCGTTAGTGGTGTTGTTGAATAGAGACAGCTGTGTGCTGGTCTCTGATGAGCAAGCGTGCCTGGGTGGCTTGAACGCTGTGCTGACTGGTAAGGTGGCTTGGACTTTGACCAGGTAAGGATTGGGTTTCAATCCTTTAAGTCAAGAGTTCTTGGTCGAACTTTGACTTTTTTGGCAAAATGAGCTCCTGTGACTCAAGTTGCCTTCCTTTCAAATCTCAATGTATTGATCTCCGGTCCTTGGATAGGATTCGCGAGAGATCTATGAGACTGATTGGAAAATTGCACCCACAAAAATTTGTTCCGCTCTCTGGATCACTTACGAAAAGGATTCACAGAAAGTTTCACGGTCTTATGTGGTTATGTGCTGCACTCACAAAATTTGTTCCACCCTCTGGATCGCTTACGGAAAGGATTCACAGAAAGTTTCACGTATTAGTGTGATTATGTGCTACCTACTGATTTCTCTTACACTTTTCTGGATCACTTACGAAAAGGATACACAGAAATTTTCAGATGGTCAGTGGTATTCCTACTGATTTCTCTTACACCTCTTTGGATCTCTTACGAAAAGGATACACAAAGATTTTCAGATAGTCAGTGGTAGCCTTCCGATTTTTCTTACACCTCCCTGGATCTCTTACGAAAAGGATACACAGGAATTTTCAGATAGTCGGTTGGTTGTCTTCCTGCCACGCGGGTCTTGTGGCCTCGATTCCTCCGGCTGCAGATAGAATACGAGGTGGCTTCACTGGTCGATGCACCAATTTGGTGGGAATCAAGTGTCGTAGGCGATAGTGGTGTCGATAATAATTTATCCACAGACGAACCCGGTTTTGGACCGGGGGAGCAACCTATAATACAATCGGGGGCTCTTTATATAGGTAGTAAGGCGGAGCTGACCCGTGCACAATCGGAATGTCCAGGAAATATATGCAAGAAAGAGGATGCCGCGGCTTGGCGCGGCCCCTGGAAGATAGGTGCCACTCATTGGTGAGTGATTCGGCACTTAAACATAAGCGGTTGGGGAATATAGCCTATGGGGAATACCCGTAAGCTATTAGGATTATAGAATTGTTGAGGTTGATGATACATAAATCATCAACATTGACCCTCATTGGGCCGAATTTGGATTGGCGGGCATCTGCCTCGCAATGGTTCGCGCCGTTTTGCTACAGTATATCACATCGTGCGGGAACCCAAGTCTTCATCTTATACTCCCCAGTCTTTGCTTAGCGAAATTCCAGCGCTATGCGCTCGCGAAGCTTTTAGCGATGCATACACGCTGCTGCACGTAGAATGTTTCGCGTAATCCGGGATGAAATCGACTGTAAATACATCCATTGCAAATTTTTCTGTGCAATCGGTCTTTGGATCGCACGACCACGAACTTAATCGTGTAATCTCCCAAACTACTTCAAACCTTGCAATGCTATTGCAGGGTGCCCCTCCAATGGGAGGAATTGGTCCAAAACTTGCTGTATGCATGCCAGCAAGCTGCACTGAAACGGTAATCGGTGGTGGAGGATAACAGTGCTGACTGATTTGGTCATTGTTTAGGACATCACAAAGATCATGGAGAGTATCGATATACAGCAATATGTACCCGTCAACCTTACTGCTGCTACAAATTGCGTACCTTTGAAAAACACATACCCCGTAAACTTTTGGGTATTTGTGTAAGTTTTACTCTAACTTTTACTTATCAGGTAAGTTTTTTGAATCTTAAATGAAATTGAGCTACTAAGGCTGAATATTTCCTTCACAACAACCACTGATAGTTAATTTACAAGGATAAGAGCTGATATACCCAAAGACACCAACATTTACGTTCACTTGACGTACTTTTTACATCAATCTAGCCTTCTTATCTCGCTTCTCATCCTGCAAAAGTGAAATACGGGTTCCTTCATACTACGCCGCAGGACGCGGCGTGCGCCGCAGGATTCGCTCTGAGAATGTACGTTTGCTGCAACGCCTTTTCGCTGGTTATGTCTGTATTTCTATATCTCCTGCACGTTTACGTTCATACATAAATTATCAGCGAAAAGGCGTTGCAGTGAACGTATATTTTCAAAGCGATTCCTGCGGCGCACGCCGCGTCCTGCGGCGTAGTATAAAGGAACTCTACAAGGTGCGCCAAAATAATGGGCTCCTGGTAAAAGTGCCAAAAGGATACGAGATAGGCTTGACGACAAAGCATGCCAACGATTCATGCAGTATCAAAGCAAAATTTGTATCTCATATTTCTATTCTCAAACCCTCTTGTGTCTACTCTGCACGTAGGCGCAGCTTCACAAAATTAAGCAACATAATTTTGTAAAGATTTTCTTTTGCTTCGAAATCGTGCATCAGAGTGCGAGCCTTCATTTCAATATTTTCAAGTACTAAAGTTTAGACGTTATTTTGAAGAGAATTATATTGAAAAAATTTTGTGGAGAGGCATGTTGGAGAAGTGGTGTTTCAGCCTCCTGAGTACGCCTTTTAATCAGAAAACACATCAGATTTTGAACACAAGATCGTTGCCGTATGCATGTAACGCGGAAACAATTTATATATCAAAAATTTACTTTTACAATGCGAAAAGAACTGTGAGATAGCGCAAAATGTACTTTACAAGCCAAGCTCTATAGTTTTTTGAAGGATATGGGTTTCTCCTGCTGCAGAGCAAATGTGAATGCAAAGTTCATATTTTTAGATTTTTCAAGACAACTAGTTCGATTCTTCTAATTCCAACATTTCTGAACAAAGAATAATAATTGTCTTTTCTAGTACAGTTAAGTCATTCTATGACTTAAAATCGACTCTAATTTTCTTTGATTTCTTCGTGCAATGCTGCAATGTTGGAGCCGGCATCTTTGACGCATTCTGTAATTTTTTATCGTCAAATGGCGTAAATGAAGTTCCAAGAATAATTCGTTTACTCATTGCATAGCAGTGACGCTGCTTTTATTCGGAGGGGCGTGGCGAAATTTTTTTCAAAGGTGAGCGGCGTTAGCTGAGCACCCCGAACAAACAGTTACTTTCACGTTTCTAAGCTTATTCCTGGTATCAGATTTTCCTTCTTCAACTCAGCATCATATCTCATAAATTTTTAGCACTTGGAAGCCAGGCAGCATTCTATTATACTTTTTGTGCTTTAGTAACTAAGCTACCAATGCAATATTTTTAAGAACTCAAGATGTTTTTAAGTTCAGCTCAAGTTGCGACTATTGTGTGAATGTGAAGTTTTGGGAGGTAGGGGACTCCGTGTCGCCGAAAGTGGGAGTTCCCAACATTTGCAAAAATATACATGCCTATACATGCACATTCTGAGTATCCGTCGCATTGTCCGCGGGGATCCTCCCACTTTCGGCGACATATAGTCGTCGAAAGTGGGAGGGTAACGTTTAAAACCTCTACCCAGTTTTGGGTAACGCTAGACAGAGCAAACGTCACATTACAAAATATTTAAATTCATCACAGCACCTGAGAGTTTTCAAAAACACAGCTTCAAGATGGCATTCCTCAATTCTGAATTTCAGCTGCGTTATGGCTTTCTTTGCGATTTGGGCAATCCTTGCTACTATCACCGATTACATTCTGGATACATATTACAAAGATAAAGTACATGGTACAGGTAAGAAACAACAGCGTTTTTAGGTTATAAACACAATGATACACAGATTTTTTTCCATCGTGTAAGTGTGACTTGTTTTTCAGCCTAAAACTGTCTTTCATTTTCTGCAAAGCTGGGCATCAAAAGAGTTCCGAGGCATAGATTTGACAAACCAAGGTGTCCCAAAAAAGTGAACACTGTTTAATGGTTAATAAATCTCTTGCTTGCAAGTCTTTCACCGAGTTTGAGATGCCATTCTGTAGAGCGAGGTTCAGCTTAGACTTACAACATAAAACGTATCTGATCTATCTTCGTTGCTATAGTGTTACGGTATGAAGTTTCAGCATATAGCACCACTGTGGAATAGGCACTTCGACGAAAAAATCCAAAAAATCAAAATTTGTGTAGCGAGGTTTTTCAGACGTGCTAATTTTTAACTTTTTACCACTTTTCGAGCTTATTTAGTGGTATAGTCACACTTCTGACGAAAAAGCAGTCGCTACCATAGATCGAAATAAGTTATAAAGAATCATTACTGTAAAGTGCGACTTTCATATCTGGGTCAGCAACTTTAATTAGTCCAGTGCAAGAGTTCCTGGCTTGTTTGGTTTTTCTTCTGAGGCTAAAATCGCTTTCAATCTCTAGAAATCCTTCTCTAAGTTCTTACCATTATCCTACAGTAAAGAAGAGTGGTTGATGATTCGCTCCATACAAATCCAAGTTGAACCTCATTCTAGAGAATGGCACCTCAAGCTCGGCGGAAGACATGAAGCAAGAGAGCTATTAACAATCGAGCATTGTTCTAATGTCTTGGGAACCCTGTATATAAATTGAAATATTCCATTTGCAACAATATGCATCTCATTGTCAATGATACGGCAGCTTTGCTCTATGGCGCATCGCATTTCAACTGACTACTTGACGAAAAGCTTTTCTTGTGGTTAAAAAGAATTTAACGTTAAAGCTCAAAGCATTTAACATTGACAGGCTAGATAACTCTACATGGTTGGAAAGAAGGACTTATTGCCACAATAGTTAGGAGGCCGTATGCTGTACAGTTGTATCGGTGGAATTCGGCCAAAATTGAATTTGCGGGATTTGCGGGGTTTAGTTACAACTTCTTCTGAAACAATTTTATTTGGAATTTGCAAGAAGATTTGGCTTCAGGTTGATGAGATGAATCTTTTATTAGGCTGCTGCATAAGTTCTGTCCGTTTTGAATTTTTTGACTTCAGAATGTCATAACTTAGTCAACCTTTTTCCAAGATCTTAGCTCCTATGTGTTGAGCAGTTCCTTGGCTATCAGATACACATTGAGACGTGTGAAAATCCTTGTTAAGGAAGAATCAAGAACTCAAAAACTTCACAGCGTTTTTGTTCAGATCTATCTTTTTTGACATGATAGTGCTTTCTTATGAATGTGATCTTCTAACAATGGATAGATAGAGAATTTTTGTAGATTATTTGGCAACTCAAAAGAGCCTATAGAGTCTGCGTTGCCGAGAGATTTTTTGACCGAGCACAAAAGAAACCACTTGACCTCGCTTCAGCACATGTGTGCATGCCTATTTACGAATTATGAAGTTTCAAAACTAACGTGAGCGCGGACAGAAATTGGTGGATGGGCCCTGCTAGCTCTTGCTTTACCCTAGCACCTTCTACTTTGAACTCATCGATTACTTCTATTCGCAGGAAGTTATTGCTTGTAAAACATTTATATAAAAAATTTCTGTTCGACAGCAAATTTTACTAGCGAGACGTTTTCTTCATAAAATTGAGCTTGCATATACTAGCCTTCTACGCCCTCATTCCGCAATCAATGAAAGGACTTGACTTGAAAGGCGCATTGTGGAGATTTTCCCGAAAGAACATATTTCTAGAGTGAGAAGTACCTCGGCTACTTGGAGATTTTAGGTCTGAATTCTTCTTACAAGAAACTTACTGAAATTTGATATACATTAGAAATGACAAGAAAGCACTTTCTAATGATACTAACAATATCACACTAAAGATGAAATTCTGTTAAAGCAGCTACTTCAAACATAAGGCAAAAAGAAATTCGGATAGAACTTATGCAACAGCCTAATAGTATACATTATGTCCGTAGTCCATGATGACACACAGACATATGATATTACTTCGTTATTTTCAAAATTTGTTCATATGAGCAACAATACATGTTGATAATGTCATAACACATGCCAATACAATACAATGCATTATGGAAAACGGGCATACTATATACTATAAGATTCGTCTCATCAAGCTGAAGCCAAATCTTCTTGCAAATTCCAAATAAGTTGTTTTGAAAAAAGTTATAACTAAATCCCGTTAGTCCCGCAAATCCCGCAAATCACGCAATTTCTCTTGAATACCACCGCTACAACTGTACTCTAGCCTCTTAATAAAAAACTAGCACTGAAAACTAATAAGCACCTGATAGTGCTTAGAAGCACATAGTATTATCCACAACATTTCATTCATTCATTCATTAGATACGCTCTAGGCGTTCCAAAACATTGACAAAAATGTGTCAGTAATACATGAAACACAACAATAATGAGCATTTCACCACATCTTTCAAGCCCAGACTAAGCTTATGAGAGAAAAGATTGTGTAGAAGCAGCTTGCGTAAACGCGTATAGATAACAATGCTTGCACTTGCGTGAACTCTATGGGGAAACACTCTGGAGAAGTACCCATGCCCCCTCGTTTGCCAGCAAGGAACGATCTTACTTTGATTTCATAATAGCATTTGATGTGATGTTGACATGAGAAACAGAGAACAACGATCCAATTCTATTTGCTTCACTACTGCAGAAGAAACACAAAAAGCTATAAATTATTTGTTGATTTTTTAGCAAAATTTTTGAAAGTATGGTCTCTCAGGTTCTCTCGCAATTTTCTGACTTCTCCTAAACTTTGTTTTGGAACTATATTTTACATTATCAAAAAAAATAACTAGCACCGACTTATTTTGTGATTCAAGGAATGCGCGTGTTTCTTACCTATTCGATATATTCTAATGGCTCCGAACTGATGAGCGTAAGCCCTTATAAGAAAGGAACTATCAAATCACTAGCATCAATTCGATTTCTCTCAATGACATGGGTTGTAGCAGGTCATGTACTTATGGATGCTACAGCTAGCGGTGCGTTCTAATTCTATAGATGTCAAAAAAAGATTTCAACTACTGCAATTTAGATTCACTAGGGGCCTTACTGGAAATATTTAACCCTTTTTTATCAACTACAATCTTAAATGCGTTCTTCTCCGTGGATACGTTTTTCCTCTTATCTGGTGTCCTGGTTTCCTACCTGTTCTTCAAATCCAAGCCTACTGCTGCATATGTGTGGAATCCCATGGTGTGGATTATGTTTTACGTACATCGCTATGTCAGGTATGAGAGGATTCCCATATTCAAAAAATGCTAACAACACCTTTACGATTCGGTGCGATTCGGTGCAGGTTGACCTTTAATGTATGCGTTTCTTTGCCGATCATATTTCCCTTTGGACGAGGCAGTCTAAGCCATAACCCCTCATAACCTCCTCAAAAAGAAATTTAACTGATTATGGCACATTTGGGACGTAGCAGTTCAAATTTTTGAAGACCATGGTCACTAACGCCCTTTTGCATGTACATTACCCTGTGAGAGAAGAAGGGAGCTATGAGAACAGCCTTTATAAACTACCGCTCATAGAACGTATTAAATATCTGAAAATATCGCGACGTTTCTCTGCATTCCGAAAATTCACGCGAACAGCGCAAACTACGCGCGCCATAGCTTCCTTCGGAATGGATATACTCTGAATCCGATATAGCATTGCCACTTGCCACTTGTGGTGAAAGCTTTGGAGGTTTGGATGTGAGTATATTTGCCATTTCACTTGCAAGGCTTTATCCAAGTTCTTATGTCTTCCAATCTTTGAGTCGCTAGCTTGTGCGCATTGTGTTGTACAATGTATTCGCTTTATCGACTATTTGTATGGCGATCATTTCGCGTACAGGCGATTAAATTATGAGCAGAGTTAGTAACAGAACAGATTGAGAAAAACCCAAAAAATCAATCTATCTTGAGTGGCACTGTCTACCCAAAAAACCCCTTTACATAAAAACTTCAAATATAAACTTCTACGCGAAAATGGAAAATATCTGCTGCAGTTATTGCTACCAATAAGCAGCGCGTTGCGGTCAGTGTTGCAGCTTGAGGCAACCCCGAAACCCCAGACTGTATAACTTTGCAAAGTTTGTGTAAACGATAACGATACTACATACCCCACAGAGTATCTAAAATTTGCTT